GCCCAGGACACGGTTGGCCCTCTGGGCTGCCAGCACACATTGCCGGCTCATGTCCAGCCTTTCGTCTGTCAGTACCCCCAAGTCCCTCTCAGCAGGGCTGCTCTCGATCCTTTCATCCCCCAGCCTGTATTGATAGCGGGGATTACCCCGACCCAGGTGTAGGACCTTGCACTTGGCATGGAATGTTGTGTCATCTCGCATTGTCAAATCCAGCAAGGGCATCGACTACAACGTTCAAATCTGCTCCTCCTCCGGAGACAGTGCTGCAGCAGGGTTTGTGGGAGCAGCTGGGGAGTGGGTGGGTAGCTTGAAGTCCAGTCGAGGAGCCAGCACCCAGCTTTGGCTCCTGAGGGGTTTGACCTTCGCCTAGGAGGGGATGAACTACAGAGATGGCCTGGCCTTGGCTTTACAGAGGCCGCCCTGTGCTTTGGCAGCGACCTCGGTAGGATGTGTGCTGCCATGCCATGCTAACGCAGAAAGTGTTTTGACGTGACCAGGAAGGGAATTTCCGGCAGGGCTGCGTGTCCCCTAAAGCTGCACGTTCCCCTGTTCCCCTGACCTGGCACGGGACTCTGCGGGTCAGTCGCCGAGACGCTCTTGGCAAGCGTTTGCCCAGGCTGGCTCCTCAGCGCTTAGCTAGGACACCTGAATCGGGGTGATGGCAAACTTAGGAGAGGAAAAAAAAAAGCCATCTTCTATGAAGAGCCATCTCCTATCAAGCCGTCTGAATGATGACACCCGTGGCTGCTGCTGTATGCCTGCTGCCGTCCTAATATAATGTGTGTATATATATATATATATAGTTATATATAGTGTGTGTATATATAGAGTTATATATATTGTCTGTGTGTACATATAGAGTTATATATAGTGTGTGTAGAGTTACGTATAGAGTTATATATATAGTGTGTGTAGAGTTATATATATAGTGTGTGTATATATATAGTTATACATATAGTGTGTGTGTATATACATAGTGTGTGTATGTATACTACATGGGGTGTATATATAGCTATATACATACTTTTATATGCATAGTGTGTGTGTATAGTGGGTATGTATACAGCGTATGTACA